AATGATTCTACTGATACTCTGACTTATTTTTCCCTGTGGCAAAATTTGAAATCAGATCAGAGATATCTCTGAATATTTTTACCAATGTCTGGGATCTCAAGACGAAGTGTGTGTTACAGAAGGAAATTGTTTTCGATAGTTACTTCAAGTAAGTTTAAAGTATTTTTAGAATATTTCCTTGTCTATAAAAAAAAAAAAGAGTTTCCTAACATATTCATTTATTACTGTAAGCTTGAATTTTAAATTACGAGTGTACAAATTTCATTTTAAAAAATTGTTATAAATTCCAATGGAATAATCTTTTCTTCTAACCTTTTTCTTTTGTAATTGCACGTGAGCGCATTTTAATAATAACAAATTTATCACTGGACAGTTTTTACCATTTAAAGATGCAAAAATATTCAGTTATATTCAGAGATAGAAGTGAAAATGATCTGGCGGATGTAACAGAATTAAAGCATGAAAATGTCAAAGTATCCATATCTCTCGCCGATTCTAAAAATATAGGAAATCCCATTCAATCACGTTCAACGAACATCTGAAAGCCTCTTACTCCCATTCAATCTCTCTCTACACTTATCCGAGGGTGAGAAAGTGTGAAGGTATTATTTATTCAACTACAAAAGGTCACCCAGATAATATTATCGCATCTCTTTATCACAAGGACTCCTACGTTATATTTTTTGAAACAAGAATATCCTACTACAAATGATACTTATAATTTGAGATATTGTTGCTTTATATATTCGATTATAACATTACATATATATGGGATTCAATTGATTGATTGTTATATTGCTATATAGGTGTGTCACTGGATTTAATAATAACATCTCTTCGCATTTCAATTTTTACATTCTCTTGACTTTTTTAACGAAAGAAAATCGTATTTTGCAGCGTCTCCCATAACCGAGCGTGGCGAGGAGTGCGTGGAAAGAGCGCCAGCCTGGGTCCCGGACAACGACGCACCCCGTTGCATGGCGTGTCAAGCAGGGTTCACGGTGGTGAGACGTAGACACCATTGCAGAAATTGCGGCAAGGTGTTCTGCGGCCGTTGTAGCAGCAATAACGTTCCCCTGCCCCGTTACGGGCATACGAAGCCTGTCAGGGTGTGCAACAGGTGTTTTCTCTATCAGGTGACGCCGTTCACGGTGTCGCCAGTGACGCAAGCGAGCTGAACTTTGGGATGACAAGGTGTGTGATGAGAGAGAGTTTGTAGGAAATGAATCGTTCATGTGGTTTTCTCCTTCCTCCTTTCTTTTTTTTTTTTTTTTTTTTTTTTTTCTCTCTGCTTCTTCAAAGAAGGGAGACGTATCTTTTCCCTTTTCTTTTTATAACGACCCTGTACACGTTCTTTTCTTTTTTTTTAGTTTTACAAAGTATGAGCATAAACATGTATATATGCAGGGTGTCTCATATAACTTTGTCCAGCTTAATTAATCTCCTCTGCACTGAATAACTTTCGTTAATAAAATTTATTCACATCTCCAAGAACAACAAAGGGTAGTTCAAGATGGACGAAATTATTGGGACATTCTGTGTACTACAATTCATAAAGGTATACGTTCACGTTAGCAAGTATTTTCCTTGGTGGTGTGTTCTTTCGATTTTCGTCTTGGGTTTGCGAGATGTTTCTTTTTTTGGTGTGTGAATTTTAGTGAAACTGTATTTCCAGAGGAATATTCGATGACGATTGTTCGATCTTTCGTTTTTTAAATTTTTGATTGTAAAAAAAGATATCTAATTTAAGATAGTTTTATATACATACGTTAGAGAGAGTTATAGAGTTGAAAAATGAAATTGACGATTACTGTTGAAGTTTCAGTTTTTATTTTATTTCCTTAGAACGACGTTAATATATTTTCTGAGCAAAAATGAGAAAGTACGTCACGTAGATTCGTAAATATTCATTAAAAAGTGAAAGAATATAACGTAACGTTAGACCAGCTTTTGTTTGATAAAATATAGAAATTCATTTTAAAGTGTTACCCTGTTTATATAAATTGGTATCTAAAACCCAGAGTCTAAAATAATATGTATGAAAAATTGAATTAGCAATTTCAATGAAAATATTCTCAACATTACATTAATTTTCGTCGTATAAGTGCTTTCTTCACGAAATGAATTTTCAGTCTATATTATATCTACTGATTTTCGAAAACTGAACAATTATGTTTGTTGTCTCTTGAATTATATTTTTTGTTACAATTTTTTAATAAAACATTTATGAGCCCGCCTTTGATTTCTTTTTTCACTCACAACATATGCTTACGATATTTTATATAAAAAGAGAAAGAAAAATCTGGAACGCTTATATTCACGATAATAACAGGAAAAACTATTTGCATATTGCGTTTAAGAATTTTTTAAATCACTTTTAAATCACCCTCCTGCTAATCACAAACGAATCACTCTTCAAACGAAAGAACAAATAGTACAGTTTCATTTAACTATCGAATATCATACATAAATAAGGAATGTTCTTCGTTAAAAATTAATTAGCGAGAATCGTTGAAGATCGAAGGAACAATGAACACTACTCGATCGTTCTTTGTGTTATTTGTACACTTAAAACTGTAAATTTCAAGTATATGTTAGCGCTGATTGCTGCTATTTTTACGATCGTGATCGAAGATTTTTTTTTAAGCCAATTTCCAAAACCTATGCCATACCGTAATTTAATCCAATTTTTACGCGTTTTTAAGTGATAAGGTGTTGCAAAACGAAAGAAAAAAAAAATATTCGCAGTTGTTGGTTTCTTATTTAAAACACGTGTATGCGATTATACAAGTATTATACAAAGTATTTCTTGTATATCGTGGCCTCTTTTCTATTTTTCATCCATCTTCATCCGCGTTCCGATTTAATTTTTATCTTCCTCTGTTAAAAATGTTCATTTGTTAGTAACAAACAATACACACATACACGTACAACATTCTTTCTTTCTCTTTTTTTTTTTTTTTCTTAATCGGATTATGAAATGTTGGATATAACTTCAAATGCGAGACAAAGATAGTATGAAATGTCGCAAACGAGTATTATTTTCGTTTGTTTTGCTGGGATTAAAAATCCATGATGTGTTATTGAAGTATAATATTTATTTCATCTGCGATTGTGAGGGAAAACGCCTGTCACACGTTTTTATTTTGGAGATCAACATCATTTCTTTCATTGTCAGTTCTTATTATCAGCTTTCATTGTTTTATTTTTACAGTACAAATGTGCATTTCCTTCTTTTCACGTATTTGTGTTGTTTTTCTTCCTCTTTACGTTCACCTACACGTGATATTCTTTTTTGATTTTAGCGATACAAGCGGATCATAAATATTACAAGCAAAATTAGTAAAAATGGAAAATAAAAGGCAATTATAAAGGAGCAGTATGAGCAATCTGTTGTATTCTGCAATTTTGTAAAATTGTGCTGTTTTTTTTTTTTTCAATGTTTTTCTTTCGGTTAAATTATTTTTCTGGACCTATAAAGTTTGTTTTTGTCCATTTTTTCCCTTGTGATAAACGTGTAAATTGCATGATCCACGATTCGATTAATCTGTGAATTCAAGTTCTTTAAAAACTGTGATTTAACATTGTCGCGTTTCTTGTTTCTTTGCAACTACAGATATTATCGTCAAGATGTCGAGAAATACATAGTTTTACACCGAGTTCTTCATCCAACAGGGACAACGAGATTTAAGTTTCTGCATCGTTTTTTGTACAGAGTCAGCAGGAGATTTCGAGTTTCATAGAAAGTTAGAGATTTCTCTGGCTCTGGAACGAAATAAGATAAAGTGTATGGAGAAATCTAAAATTTAAAAATACAACAGAGAAATCGTGTCTGCGTTTTAAGCTCGGTATAAAATTACATATCTCTTTAGTAATTCTGCTAAACGAATAATAATAGTTTATAAATATCACGCAATCAGTACACACAGTTTTGTAATAATTTTCTTATTCATTTTTTTTTTTAAATAATCCTTTGAACATTTATACAGTGTAAGAATTGAAATTTTTCCACGAAGATTCATTTATTTTAATTTCTTTATATTTTTCTCCGTGAGAAGTTATATCTACATTTTACGACAGATGTGTATAAGTATAGTACATCGATTTATAAAAAGGCGAGGATTATTGTTAGAGTTGTTCATAGACTATATTGGATGCGACGAGTTTTTATGTCACAAGTGAGAATGGAACGATTCGCGTAGTGTAAGAATTTGTTGAAATTTTGAAATAAACTTTGTTACAAGACATGATGTTCATTTTATTTAAAATCAACAAAAAATGTTTAGAAAGAAAGGTCCAGGTAATGAATACAATTTTATGCAACGTTTATTACATACGTTCAATGTGACAGATTAATTTTTACCTCTTTTATTTTGCTCATGTTATTCACAATGAATAAAATAACCTGACAAAGGAATTTATTTCAAAATTTCATGTATATTCAAGATTTAATTGTATTAATAAAAAAAAAGTCAGAACATTTATAAAGTACATAAATGTATAATTCGATACATTGCAAATATTTATGAAAGCTTATATTGCATAAATTTAATATTGCGCAATTTTTACATTAAAAAATACTTCTTTTATCTTGGAATATTACTTGATGTTCATAAACGAATTCATACAGAAATAATTGAAATAACAAATGAAAGAATTTACTTTAAAACTTCACACAGTGTATATTCGAAACTCAATGTAGAAAATTAAAATATAAAATATAAAAATTTATTACACGTATATAAAGGTTCGTTGGAAAAATTTCCGTGTTAAAATTTATTTCATTTATTTTCACAGATAAACGGAAAAGAAGAGTAAAAATAAATTGACAGAGGTATACTTATTTCAAAATAATTGTTTCATTTTCGTACGAACAGTTCATCCGATCCTTCGACACCAAAAAGAAATCGTCGTATCCTCTATAGTCGGCAAATAATTTCGACATCGTGTATTGTAAAATAGAAATATTCATATTTACACACTCTTTCACGCGTGTATTTAATTTCGAAATATGCTCTTTCTAGGTGGAAACGCAAGATTCTTAGATAGTTAAATGGCATCGAGGAAGGAGGAAATCCATGAAAATCGACGAGAAAGGTGGGAGTGTTTGTCACAGACTGAGGAATGCAAAGAAATTAAAAGAAAAAAAAAAAAAA